CAGTGACAGTGGCATTACAAGAAGAATGCTCTTTGCCAACCCTGCTCTTCTGGCTGAAAGGGCATAGCTTCTGCTGCCCAGGAAAGGGGGGAGTCCTTCACTTAGGTTTGTTTCCTTCTTCACTTTTGCTTTTCGTTGTCTTTGTTGCCCCATGCCATTGCTGTAGCCTTTCTAAACTGGGGAAAGAATGCAGCTACGGCTGTGTACCCTGTGGAGGAAGAGTTGCAGCAGCATGGGACTCTGGGGCTGGTGAAGCAGGGGCTCAGATGTAGGGGCATCCCAGGGCTGAAAATGAAAGGATCTCCAAGGACTGGAAGGCAGGGCTTGGGTGTTAAATTTTGGCTGGGAAATGAGGTCTGGTAAGCTAGGGCTCAGCCCTCCGCACTACTGCCAGGGGTAGCAGCCTCAGAGGTAGGGGCTGTGGGGCAGGAGTGGGGACTGCAACACAGCACTGGAAGCCTGGGCCCCATTTTCTGCTCATAGCAACCCCAACTCCCTAAGGTGAAGGTCCTTCAGGCATTTGCTTTTCCTGTGCTTTCTTGTGATAGCAATGAGAGCAACAGCGGTGGTCGGGGAATCCCGTGTTCTTTCTGTGCGAATGTGGTCTGCTGTTCTGGCAGCAGGTCAGTAACTTCAAGTTTCTGTAAAGAAAACCCTTGTGGCTGGTATCTTGGACATCTTTTTTTCCAGTCCACCTACTGTAACCTGTGTCCTTCCTCCCCTGAATTGTGGACCACGTGCTGTGTCTTGCCTGAAAAGCTGTTACAGGGTATTTATAGGGGCACATGGGAGGACGTAGGGGAGGAAAAGGATGCCCATCCCTACACAACTCATGCAGCCTGCTTGGTTCATGGAGCAGCACGCTTTCTTTTCTGTTGTAAGAAGAAGATCTGAAAGGTTCTTCTGGGGGAAGGAGAGCTGACAACAGGTCGTAGGAGAGGCACTAGCTACCTGCTGTGGTGCTAGATCAGCACTGTGCTGAAGCGAAGAATTTCATTCGCTTTGATCACAGCTGCAGTGGAGATTACATCTCTGTCCAGCCAAAGATCGGGACTTGCTTTTTTAAGTTGGTATCCCAAACAGCTTCCAGTCTGCAGTCTACACTGAGTCATACAAACCCACGGGCAAGACAAGTCTCTGTCCTTGCTTAGCGTCGCCACTGAAACCCGCAGCACACACTGCCCAGCCCAGCTGGCATTCTGCAACCTGCGAGACGAGGTGAGCTAACTCACTTGTGCTCATCTGAAGTCACTAGGAGCCACCCTGCAGCTTCAACTGCTCCTCTACTCGGCTTCAGCAGATGCACCCTCCTCTTGCCTTCATTTCCAACTGCACTGGGGTACACCAGGCTCTGTGCAGTTGTACATAGTCAGGCAGGCACCTATATAGCTTTATGGAGGCTTTTAATGTGTTTGTACTGCTGGGGCATGGGCAGGTGGGGGTGGCAAGGGAGTGAGACTAATGCATTTCCCTTCCCTGTTAGACTCTGCCAGTTTCTTATTACAGAAGCTCATAGCTGTTTCTCCCACAATTCAGTTGGCTCCAAGGAATCAAGGGGAGAACAAGATTTATTGTTCCAAAGCAAATCTTTGTCCAGCACTGGGATAGGGTGGGGAGTTAAAATCAGAAGGCTTATTTCCAGGATGTTTTTGTGCGGTTTTCCCTCTTCCTTTTTCCATCAATAACGTGTGAAGATTGGAGTGTGGCACTGAGATGAGCTCCCAATACAATGTCTACCTGGTGAGCAGAGGTTTGGGTTATCTCATCAGGCCTGTCAATTGAAAACTAGGCCAGCCTGAGCTGTGACCTGGGTCTAACAGCACCCATGCTGCCATGGCTTGTAACCCCATTCACTGGATGGGTTATAGCCGCCAGAAGTTAGAACCCCAAAATCATGAGTTTAAAAATAAAGACCTCAGGTGCTCTTCTGTTTGCTCCCTCTTTTCTCAGTCTGAGCTTGTACTGAAGGATTTCAAGCCTTTTTTCTGTCACCTTGGCCCAATTCCCTGGTGTCTCCACAAAAAGTGAGAGAGGGCCCTTAAGTGTGACTTGGGAAAGCATATGTTAAGGGGTTTCCACCTTGGTAAACTGCATATAACGTGCCAGGCCATATGGATGTTGTAATGTCTCGTCTTCTGCTATTAGCTGGACTTGCTGGTCCTCCTGGCTGCCCCTTCTGCTGGGGAAGGTGACCTGGCAGGGCATGGTGGTGCCCCACAGCTTCCCAGGCTTGCAAAGGAATCAAACAGGCAGCACAGCTCAGCACTTAAAAGCCAGATTTCTTGGGGGACTGAGATGGTGTAAGTACTTAAAACTGAGAGGTTTATCCACCAGACAGCTAACTCTTCTCTCCCCTTTTCAGGACAGCCTTGGAACTGGGCTTTTTTTTTTTTTTTTAATCTGGACACATTTTTTGGTTTAAGGTTTTTTTTTTATTCTTTGTACAATGAGCTGTGTTGACATATACTGGCAGAGCTAGCATGGTACTAAAATAGCAAGAAAGGACAGGCTAACAGTATCTGTGCCCTTAACTGGGATGCTTGCTGGGTCTGGGGTTGGATTATTTGTTCACCACACAAACCATTTAATTGCTGTGTCTGTTGCACAGTGTGATTTAATGACAAGTCGCTTGGGAATACATAAAAACATCAATATAACATTAAGGATGATCTGACAAGGGTTTTCTGTAAGTTCTGCAGCCCATGAGAGAGAACTAGAAAACAGCAACGGCTTAAATCTCCTACCTCTGAGATGGCTGTTACCCATTCTTACACAGTGCAGGATGTGCCTTCGCTTGAGGAAACACGACCAGCACGCTGGCTGCGTTGCACTTGCGACGTAAGATTCTGCCTGAGGATGCCGAATCAATACAGGGGGTATTTCAAATAATAATAATAATAATAGTAATAATAATAATAATAGTGTGCATTGCGGGACTCTCCCCGCCTCAGACGCAGTGTTGGCCGTTGGGCGGTGCCGCGCGCCCTCCTCGGCCGTTAGCTCCTGAGGGAGCGGCGCCTCCGC